CAACGTCCTCCACAACTAGACTGAAGAACAAAACGACAGCGACTTGTCTGTTCCCCTTCCCCCAATTCCCCAGCACTGTTCCCATCCCCCCAATTACCCAATAAAAATCTTAAAAAAAAAAAAATTACCAATAACCAGAGCTGAAAGAGCGGTCATCTGTACACATCCTACAACATCAGAAGGATAACGTAATATTATGTATAAACAACTTTGATGTCAATAATCGGACAACTTATAAGAACCAACAAATCCTTTAAAGACACAGATTACCAAAACTGACTCAAGAAAAAAAAAGAAAGCAGGCATAGTTCCCTAACTGTGCAGAAATTGAATAGAGCATCCCACTATGTACTTAAAATGAGGACATCTTACTGTATGTCAATTCTTCCTTAATAAAGTAAATCTCAAAGGTTCCCGTCCAGGAATGCACACGTGGGGGACAAAACTAGGAAGAAAGAATGGAAACACACACTGGATAAGTGTGGACTACGCCTACTTGGGGCAGAGGGGGAGGTCATCGCTTCAACAGGCACAGGAAGAGCTCCGGGCAGCATCAGTGACTGGCGAGGCCGTGCCTCTCACAGCCCTTCGTTAAACTGCGGGCCTGTTCCGTGTGGTGGTCTGCATCTGGGTGATGCTTCGCAATGCCAAAGTTGCCATCTGGGTGTTTTACAAGATGAAAGTTTAGAGGTGGCCAGTTAGCTCTGGTGGTTAAGAGCGTAGGCTCATAACACCAAGGTTGCTGGTTCAATTCCCACATGGGCCACTGAGCTGTGCCCTCCACAACTACTGGGTCGTCGGAAAAGCTGTGACACATTTTTGCAACAAAAAACATAGAAAAATACGTCGTGACTTTTCCAATGACCCAACAGATTGAAGACAACTACTTGACTTGGAGCTGATGGGTCCTGGAAAAACACACTGTTCCCCAATAAAAAATAAAATAAAAATAAAAAAAAAGATGAAAGGGCCGGCCAAGTGGCGTGATGGTTGAGAACTCGCTTGGGATGCCAGAGGGCCCCGGTTCGGATCCCACATGTGAGGGCCAGTGACACTGCCCTCCACAGCTAAG